ATTTGTGAGTGGGACGCGACTTTTTTGCAGAAACGCTTACCGTGATTTACTAAAGTTTTTTTAACTGACGTTTTTTGACTGCTTTTTTGGACTGCCACAAGTGGGGCTATCCAGGCGCCATTATTCACTTAATTGCGCCTAATTTGAATTCACTCTTTTGCCAAGAAAGTGACGACAGACAGTGCAGCTCTCTTATTAAGCTAGGCGTAGTACAGCAAGTAGTAGTGCAGTAGGGAAATGCCGTGCAGAAAAGCTAACTGTTAGTTTCCCAAGCTGCTCATAACTGCTCACACCGGCCGACAGACTGGCTCGTTTTGATTAGCAGCAACAGCAACAGCAGCAATTCCAAGCAGCACTGTCAACTCTCGGCAATTGCCCAACATAAATCATCAATAAAAACCTATTGGGGAAGGGGCAAATGGCGTATATTTTACAGCTGCGGCACAGTGTGTCACAGCAGCATCAGCCATCTAGCAGGCCAAGCAGGCTGTCTCAACGCCAAACACCACCTCTAAACACTGCACTTTCTCATTTTCGGGTAATGCAAATTGGCTTGCACAAGCTCTAGAGAGTCCAGAGAAAACCACCAACGAGCAGGCAGCCAAAAAAAAGCAAAGCAGACAACGTTGTACTGCACTGTACTGATAGGACCGCATTGAAGTGCAATCAACTAAAGCGCTGAGACAAAAGCTAGTGCTGGTGGTGGTGGCGGTGGTGGTGGCGGTGGTGCACGTAACTGGAGCATTATGCAACTTGCGGCGTAGTCTGCTAGTGTCTGCAAATGACTGGGCTGCAGCAGACCAAGGCAAATAAAGCGATCAGGATCGTTATTGATTGGAATCAGCCACCATCACCACCACCACCACCACTGCCATGAGCCACTGAGCCACTGAGCCAGTCTGCTGTCCCTCTCTATCAGACCACGTAATAAGGTTTCCAATTTATTAGCACACTCGGCTATCGCAGCTAATGCCAACAGCCGTTAGTTCAGGCGTACTACATTTGCACACACAGTACAGCACAAACAGGGCAGGCAGCAACAGCTCAAATCGCTTTGATTCGATCACCCTGAACAGCCCTCAAATGTGTTTTCTCTCTCTTTCTCTTTCTCAAAAAACCATTTTTATGACGGCAATTTTGACAGTTAGCCAAATCACATACTTCCAGCAAGTAGAGTAATTAGCATAACAGATGAGGCGGCTAACATTGATGAGGCAAACAAAATGTGAAATGCTTAATGACAGCTGCAGGCAGGCAGGCATGGGAAAGTGCATGGGAGAGAGAGAAAGCGCGTAATAAGAGTAGGCATAAAGAGAAGAGAGAGAGAGAGAAAGAGAAAAGCGTAAACGCAAAGTAAAAGACTGATTTGCCCATTTGGACGGACTAATTGGCTCTCATATTGCAGCCATCACTCAGTCGGCTAAAAAGCTGCGAAAACTTTGCCTTTCCTGGAAAACGTTCGTTTGGGCAGTTGTTGTTCTTCTTTGCCTCTCTCTCTCTCTCTCTCTAGTTCTGCCTCTTCTTTTTTATTCTTTTCCTTCTTCTTTGTCTTTTTCGCTCCTTTCTTTTATTAATTATTTAGCGCAAATGAAATGACCCATAGATTACTGAAGAGAAGGAGAGAGAGAGAGAGTGTCCGGTGGCACTGATGGTGGTGAGCAGCAGCAACAGCAGCTTTGGCGACACCGCCGTGCACCTAACTGCTGAACTGTCCCTGGCCAATTAGTCTGCGGCCAGGCTAGTCTGTTGTTGCCGTTGTTGTTTGAAGACTAGCGGCGGTTCCAGTACTTGTGGTGCTGCTGATGGCCGTCGTGGTGGTGGTGGTGGTGGTGGTGGCCCTCAGAGCTCGGTTTTGTGTTCTGAATTTTAATTAGATGGCGGTGGCAAACAATTAGGCCGAAATAGAGTTTTCACTGCAACTGCTAGGAAGCTGAGGGAAACCTTCTCGCTCTCAAGGCAGCATTTGCTTTTGCAAATGATTTTCTACAGAAGCAGCAGCAACAGCAGCAGCAGCAGCACCCGCCAAATGGGTTGTCTGGGAGGCAACGTGTGTAACGATGCTGTGTGCCCGGTAATGTTGTAGCCTACTACTTGTACTACACAGCATTGAAACAGTGAATTGGACTACGCCTAGAAACTACAATTTTTAATTAAAACAAGGCACCACTTTAAAGCTGAATCCTCTTATTCCCTTTCTCTCTCTCTCTTTTACTTTCTCCCTCTCTCATTTACTTTTTTCTCCCCCATTTAGGTTGTTCTCGTTTTCTTGCTCTCAATTGCTTCGCTCATAATATACTTCATAGACGCTTCAAGGTAATGTATTCAATTCTCAAAATGAAAATAAAAAATAAACAACCAGCAATAAAAAGAAGAAAAACAAGGCAAACTAATTCTCTTTTTCTTGTTGTTTTAAAATATATTACCCTCTCACTTCTAGAACGGGCCCGCCAGGAATTGGGTAAGTGCGCCTAGTAGACAGTTTGCAGCCGAGAAAAGAAAAGCAGTTGTTCACTTTCCCAGCACTGCCTCCAATAACATAAACAAAGTTTGATGCGTGAAATTGGACACTTTTATTGGCCAGCCTCTTTTTCAGAATGCGGAGAAGTAATCTCTAAACTTAAACTTTTGCATTTTTTTCCCAACAGTGACAGCGTCGAGAAGTGTCAAAAGTGGAATGAGAATGCTACCCAGCAAGTGGACCTAGCACTGAATGTATTCTTTATGGTCTATTTTTTCATTCGCGTACGTACTCAATTTGCGTCTGTGTTTAGTAATGCGTTTTTGCATTTTCTTGTAAATTTATTGCAGACAAGAATCTAAATACTAGGCTTAAATAGCATTTAACTTTTTATTGTTTTTTTGTCTAAATGCATTCTGATTGTAAAACAATTTTCTGTAGTAGTTGTTTAACAATCAATTGCTAAGACCAAAGTAATACGATTTGAAACAAACCAAAAAATGGTAGGCAATAGATTATTGGTATTGCGTATTTCACAAAATAACTTAGAACAAACCAATTTAAAAAATATTTTTAATTGCAAAACACAAAACTTTTAATGAGTTTTAATTCCCATTAAACTTTAAACAACATTTAAATGCAAATTGTAGTAATAAATTTTTTTCTATTTTATTTTTGTGAAAAACTATAAAATAAATACTTATTATGTAGTAGATTTTGAATTAACAGTTTTAAAATTCATTTTTAGTGAAAAACAATAAATATAGTTAATCTTGTTTTTAAAAGTGTTTTAAAACTTGAAGCATTGCATAAACTTTCTTAAATAAACAAACAAAATACTGTTTTAATACTGATGTTTTTGTGTTATCATTAAATGCTTAAAAAATAACCGTTTTAGTTTTCTTTTTAAATAATTTTTTTATTTATTATATTTATTAAATAAAAAAACTATTAATAAGTTTTTTTAAATTGACTATTTAAAAAAGTTTCAAGTATATGACAAGCAAATTTTATTTTATTTGTTAAAAACAATAAATTTTTATTTTGAATTAGAACATTTAATAAAACATAATTTGTTTTGTTGTTTTAATCAAATTGTCAAAATATTGGCAGTTTCAATTACAAAAACAAAATTTTGAAGTTCATTTAACATTTCAAAATGAATATTAAAACAAAATTTTTTAAATAAACTAACACAAATATTTTTTGACAAGCAATAAAACAAAAACAGTTATTTAATAAAAAACTAACTTAACCTTATTTAAATTTTTTTAAATTTTGTACATGTGTTTAAATTTTAATTGTTTTGAGAATTTTTTTTGTGATTTTTTAACTAACAGAATGAGCATTAGTGTAATGCATATTTGTTAAAACAACAACGATTCAATTTTTATTTTGTTTAATACTTGCATAAAAAATTAATTAATTTTTTATCATAAGTAAAAAAATTTATACAAATTACAAAACTAATTAGTATAAAAATTCTAATGCTATTATTTAAAACGGTTAATAAACAAATTTTTAGTTTACCAAATATTACAATTTTAATTAAACAACAGTTCATTTTTTTCATAATTACGTATTCACAAATATGAAGTAACAATTGATGTGATTTTCTTCTATTCAGTTCATTGCTGCCTCTGATAAGCTATGGTTTATGCTCGAGCTTTATTCTTTTGTCGATTATTTTACAATTCCGCCTTCTTTTTTGTCACTCTATATCGACCGAACTTGGATTGGTGAGTGGCAAATATACGCTTCAAATAAAATACAAAATTATGATTTTATGTTTTTGTAACGGTAATTTGCAGGTCTTCGTTTTTTGCGCTCCCTTCGCTTGATGTCCTTTCCTGACATCTTGCAATATCTCAATGTTTTGAAAACTTCATCCTCCATTCGATTGGCTCAACTCATATCTATTTTAGTCTCAGTTTGGTTGACTGCTGCAGGCTTAATACACTTGGTAAGTCAAGAAATTTGCTTATATTTAAATGATGTTGCCTTAGGGCCAACGCCCTATTTGGCGTTTTATTTTAACCCATTTTAACAACCATCCGACAATTTAAATGTTTTAGCTTGAAAATTCTGGCGACCCGCTTGATTTTCGAAACGGCCACTACATGTCTTACTGGGACTGTGTGTACTTTCTCATTGTCACAATGTCAACGGTCGGCTACGGAGACATTCACTGCACGACCACACTTGGTCGCACCTTCATCGTCCTGGTCATTCTCGTTGGCCTGGCAGTCTTTGCCTCCTGTATCCCGGAGATTATTGACCTTATCGGCTCACGGCCCAAGTACAGCGGCACTTTTAAGTCTGAAAGACGGCGGTAAGTGTCGACTGTTGGGAAAATTGCATCCATTTCTACAAAACAAGAACACACCAAAACTTTTACCACCCACTTCCCGTTCAGCAGACATATCGTGGTTTGCGGACATATCAACTTTGAAAGTGTTTCCAACTTTCTCAAGGATTTCCTCCACGAGGACCGCGAAGACGTCGACGTTGAGGTGGTCTTCCTGCACCGGAAGCCGCCTGACCTGGAGCTGGAGGGCCTCATCAAGCGGCACTTCACCACGGTGGAGTTCTTCCAGGGCTCAGTGATGAATCCCATTGACCTGAGTCGGGTGAAGGTGTACGACGCTGACGCCTGTCTGGTGCTGGCGAACAAATACTGCCAGGATCCGGATGCAGAGGATGCCGCAAACATTATGCGCGTCATTTCCATAAAAAACTACAGTGATAATATTCGGGTAAGTGATTGAGAGAGGGAAACGCAGAAGGGCATTGTCTACCGATGCACAAGTGGGAGCAGCAGTATTTAATATATGCACTTTTGTTCTATTGTACGTGCTGCTTTATTATTATTATTTGTGCCTTACACACAAAATAGGTCATTGTGCAGTTGATGCAGTACCACAACAAAGCATATCTACTGAACATTCCTTCCTGGAATTGGAAGCGAGGCGATGATGTCATCTGCGTAAGCGAACTTAAACTGGGCTTCATTGCACAGTCCTGCCTGGCGCCCGGATTCAGCACCATGCTGGCCAATCTTTTTGCCATGAGATCATTCAAAACGGTACGGAGTGATGACACAGCTGGACAGATGGCGGCAAAACAATGTCACTGTTTTGTGATGCTTTCTGTGCCTATTTTTTTCTTTTTTTTTCTTACGAGAAAATGTTCTGTTTTGTCCCTTTGTTTTCAGTCGCCAAACATGCCTGCCTGGCAAAATGACTACCTCTGTGGTACAGGCATGGAAATGTACACTGAATTTCTATCGCCTGCTTTTGAAAATATGACCTTTCCGCAAGCTACTGAACTGTGTTTCTTGAAAATCAAACTGCTTTTAGTTGCTATAGAGGTGAACGAAGTTGAGTCGGGCTCTAACATCATTATCAACCCAAAAAGCAACTATCGCATACGTGGCAAAACACAGGGTTTCTTCATGGCACAAAGTGCTGATGAAGTGAAAAGGTGAATCTAATAAAACTTAATGCAATTTATTTTTGACATAACTTTTTTTGTTTGTGTGCAGAGCTTTGTACTACTGCAAAATTTGCCATTCCGACATAAAAGACGAAAAGCTAATCAAAAAGTGCAAATGCCGAATGTGTAAGTTTGAATAGCTTTTACAGACAAAAAAATTTAACTAACATGAAAACTAATTAGTTGAAGGAAGCAGCCAGCCGCGTCATTCAATAGTCGAATTTGCCACCCGATCAAAAAAATCAAAAGGTAAGTCCTAAATGTACTTATTATAACTACTCAACTGTTAGACCAAACTCACTAGCAGCCAGCTTGTACAGTTAGTAAGAGTTCAGTGAAACCAACTAGTGAAAGGACTTGCTCGGCAGCTAAAACATAAACTTTAGCTTCTACAGCTTTATAGTTTCAGCTTTAGCTACCAACTACCATTAAAATGCTCAAAGTCTCTCTGGTGCTCTATGCCATCAGAGAAGATGCGTTTTTGTGCCTTTTTCTCGCTTTTGCTTATCTCCGCTCACAAAAATTTTTCTTCTTCTTCTCTGTCTTTCGTCTTTCAAACTCGCTTTTTTCCAATTCACGTCCAAACACATTCACATTTACATTCACATTCAAACTCACTCACACACACGTCTTGTCAATTTAAACTTTTAATTTGTCGCACGCAAAACGTACTGCACACCACTTCACAACTTTACAATTAACCGTACGCTCCATGGTCCGCTGCATTTGCTTGCACACACTGCTTGCCCACACACTCCTTTGCACACACCAACACCATCGAAATGTCAACCGACGCCAACCGACGTCACCTCGCCCCTTCAAAACTCCTACAGTGCAAATCGCCGACGATCTGTCGCAGTACGCCACACCACAGCAACTTCAGCAGCACCAGTACCACCAGGGTGGTGGGGCGGTGCAGCCATTGCTGACTGGTCCCATTGCACAGCCAGCACTGATTGGTGATGGTCAGCAGACGATGGTGATGACTGTCAATCCAATGGACACGGTTCCATTCAGAGGTGCTGGTTTTGATGGCTTAGAACAACAACAGCAGCAGCAACTGATGCTGAGCGGAGGTGGTGGTCAGCACCAGGTCCAGTCGTCAATGGAACCGGAGCGGCATTTTTTCCCTCCGGTGAACCACTCGTACGACAGTGGCACTCAGATTCAGCCGTTTGGTGGTGGTGGTGGTAACCAGTACCAACAGGGCAGTCTGTACCAGCAACAGCAGGCAATGCAGCAGTCCTCGGGCTCGGCGCCGATGATGCTGCCCTCGATGCGCTCCCACTCGGTGCAGCACCAGCATCAGTCACAGCACTTCAGTTTCTCTACGGAGTTCGGCGATCGAACGGGTCACTTTGGCCAGCAGCAGCAGCAGCAGCAGCACCAGTACCCGCACTCCTCACTGTCCAACTACCCGGAGATGGGCAGAAGGTCGGTGGACCAGCCCCAGCAGCTGCATCAGCGACAACAGCAGGAAGATCAGGAGGAGCAGGGCTTTCACCGGCGTCGCCTCGCTTCCTATCCAATGCACGAGTCGGCGGCGGCGCAGTACCAGCATCAGCACCGACAGCTGCCGCTGCTGTACCACCGAAGGGACTACGCCTACCACCCCACGCAGGCGCACTACCAACAACAACAGGGACTGCTGCTGCTGCAGCAACAGCAACAACAACCACAGATGCAACCTCAGCAGCAACAGTCAAACTACCCTGCTTACGGCCATCAAGAGGAGGATGGGGTGGTGGATGAACTGCTCGATGACATTGATGATGAGGAGGAGGAGGTGGAGGTAGATGTGAACGGCGTCGATGAGGAAGATGAGGTTGATGTAGAGATGGAGGTTGACGGCTTACTTGCACCCACTGAGCACCCCTACGGTCACCCCAACAACACCTGCACCAGCACTGACAGTCAGCACCAGCTACAGCAGCAACAGACGCAGCAGCAGCAATCGCAGCAGCAGTACCACCGTCAGCTCGCTTACCCGACTGAACCGTATTCGAACCACCCAACAGGGCACCACCACACTCACCACCACCACCATCACCAGCAGCAGCAGCATCAGCATCAGCAACCGTGCTACCCCAGTCATTCGTCGACCTTTCCCAGCAATGGCGGCAAACGGCAATTTGGAGGTATGCCTGGCGGACCGGGCAATGGTGGCCAAGGTGGCCAGGGTGGCCACGGCGGAAACCGTGAAGGGCGCTCCTCGAGCGGAATCCGAGAGCGTCCTCGCGTCATGACTGCCCCCATGAATGCTAATGATGTGTACCTGTTTGAAGAGGATGGTGGGGAGATGCACCATCATCAACAACATCGTCACGCCCATCACCAGCAGCAACTGCAACACGCCCATCACTTTCAGCAGGGACAGCAACACTATGGGCGCATGGCAGGAGGCGGTGGTGGGGGTGGTCACCGAGGACACAGCAGTCGCACGGTGAGTCAGAGTGAGCCACCGCCCAGCAGTCTGGAGCACCGATCAGCCTACGGACAACAGCAGCAGCAGGAGCAGCATTCGGCATTTGAGATGACCGATGTCAGCTCGAGCAGTGGCGCAGGTGGCCCGATTGTGCCCATTCAACAGCAGCAAACGAGCACCGAAGTGGCGCCCTACTCGCCACATGTCCGCCTCTCCTATGAGGTGAAAAAGTTGTTGTGAGTTTTTTTTCTGATTTTAATATACCTTTTGAATGTGGGCTATATAAATTCACTTACTTTTTTTTAAACTGCAGGCCTGCAGCCGCCAAACCCGAGTCACTGGGCCTGGCGCCGGAGATCAGCGGCGAGCCGACGGAGCAGGACCAGCTGCGCTTCCAGCGCGACGAGAAGGACTTTGATTTTGACAAAACGGAGATGAAGTACGACTCGACGGGCATGTTCCACTGGTGTCCGGCGAAACTGCTGGAAGACTGCGTTCTGGATCGGAACCAGGCGGCTATGACGGTTCTGAATGGGCACGTCGTTGTGTGCCTTTTTGCCGATCCCGATTCGCCGTTGATTGGCCTGCGAAATCTAGTCATGCCTCTACGGTAAGTGTAAAAGGGGACAAAAAACAGGCTAAACAGTGCATTGAGCTCTGGTGGGCTAATCGCAGCCCAGAATCGTTAAGGCGATTACCAAATTAATATTTGCATATTTTGATTATTTCTCCCTCCCCCCTCCCCAGAGCTTCAAATTTTCACTACCACGAGCTTAAGCACGTCGTCGTAGTGGGCAATGTGGAGTACCTCCGTCGAGAGTGGAAAATGCTGCAGAATCTGCCGAAAATTAGCGTTCTCAACGGGTCGCCGCTGTCACGGGCAGACCTGCGCGCCGTCAACATTAATCTGTGCGACATGTGCGTCATCCTCTCCGCGAAGATACCCTCCTCGGATGATCCGAATCTGGCGGACAAGGAAGCGATTCTCGCCAGTCTGAACATCAAGGCGATGACATTCGATGACACCATCGGAGGGCATCCGACCAACGCCGATCCGGCCATCCAGTCGGAGGACTCTCTGCGCAAAGGTCAAGTGTAAGTAGAAAAATAAAATGCAAAGTAAACAAAAAAGAAGAAGAAAAGAGGATTAACTTTACACAAAAAACTACTACTACTAAATACTTTTGGGAAAAGTACTCTCAGACTACTAATGATGTTAATTCCCTTTCCCCCTTCTTTTTTCAATGAATCTACTCTCTCACCCACCAGTGTGCCACTGATCACCGAACTGGTGAATGACACGAACGTGCAGTTTCTGGACCAGGACGACGACGACGACCCGGACACGGAGCTGTACCTGACACAGCCGTTCGCCTGCGGCACCGCTTTCGCCGTCTCCGTCCTCGACTCTCTCATGTCGACGACGTACTTCAACGCCAATGCTCTCACGCTCATTCGCAGCCTGGTCACCGGCGGGGCGACGCCCGAGCTGGAGCTGATTCTGGCGGAGGGCGCCGGCCTGCGCGGCGGCTACTCGACAACCGACACTAAAAAGAATCGGGACCGCTGTCGAGTGGGCGTAGTCTCGCTGACAGAGGGGCCGCTCGGAAAGTACGGCTCCCACGGGGGCAAGTACGGCGATCTGTTTGTGGAGGCGCTGCGCGCCTACGGCATGCTCTGCATTGGCGTGTACCGCTACCGGGACGTGGACTTTGACGAGAACGCCTCCAACAAGCGGTACGTCATCACCAATCCGCCCATTGAGATGGACCTGGTGCCCTCGGACTTGGTAAGTGAACACCAGTGATTACCTTCTTTTTGTACGACAACAGCTACAACAACAGTCTTTTTTATTTGCGGCATTTTAGATTTACGTCCTGCTGCAGTTCGACCCTGGCATCGACTGCCAGAAGATAGCGAAGAAGCGCTCGCAGCAGAACATGAACAATGACATCATTTCGCTGCCCAACTTTGATGACCTGGTGGACCCGAGCAGGGAGATGAATCGGGTAGTGGCTGCTGCCTCCGCTGCTGCAGCTGCCAAGTCTGGTGGCGCCAACTCGAGCAGTCGGGCGTCGAGCAGTGTGGCGATGCAGCAACAGCATCAGCAGCAGCAGAACAGCAGCAGTCTAACGGGCGGGCCCAGCGGCAGCAGCGTCATGATGACGCTAGACGGCGCCACCAGCAGTGGCAGCAGCGTCACCGGCGGGGGCGGGGGCGGGGGCGGAGGGCCCCACCAGCAAATTGCTGAGCAGGCAGTTGAGCATAGGCAGTACGTGCAGCATCAGCAACAACAGGGTCGATCTCGGTCGAGTGACTACGCACTGATGGCCCGTCGTCGACAGGAACAACAGGCGATGATGATGCACTCTTCAGAGGTAGAGGAGGAGGAAGCGATGTACCCCATTGAGGAGTTTCAGCTGCAGCCAGTGCCACGACCCGAGCACCGGCGACGAGCGGCGGCAGAGGCGGCGCTCATGCGACAGGAGGCCATCTTTGAGCAGCAGCAGCACCAACAGCAGCATCACCCTAGGCGACAGGTGAGTCACTCGGCTCATCTTCCCCACCAGCATCAGCACCATCAGCAATCTGATCACCACCTGGCACATGCCTCCTCCCTTGAGGGCCACCACCATCAGCATCAGCAGCAGCAACAGCAGCAGCACCTGCCCAGCCACCACTCGGTCACCTTTGGTCACCACAACTTTGCCACCTACGGACGGAACTCTGCCAACGGCCATCGTGCCCAGCAGCAGCCGCAGGACCACCATCCCCAGCAGCATCACCATGGCCAGCATCATCATCATCAGCCGAATCAGCATCAGCAGTACCACCACCCGCATCAGCAGCACCCCCCGGGGGCGAGCGTCCGAGCGCACTCCGACCAGTCAGTGCGCATCGGCAGTCGCAGCGCCGCCAACCAGTACCACGGTATGAGAGACAGAGAGGGTGGGGGCACGTCACGCCACCGCTCCTACAGCTCACACCCACACCGACGGCTGCCCATGCCCATGCAGACCAATGTCTACCCAAATGAGTGGTAACGGGAAGGAAGCACCCCACCAGTATATTGCCCAGCGCTGACCCGAAAGCTGGCTTCATTGTTTGCCATTCGTACCTCCATAACAGTAACTTACATTACACTTGATATGACACACCAGTGTACGGAACTTGAACAAAACTGACAAACCGGAACATTATGTTTCAAGTTATGTACCTTTCTTCTTTATGCTTATTTCTTCCCACTTTTCCCACTTTCTCTCTCTCTCTTTCTCTCACTTTTTGCCCATTTCCCACTTATCATCATCACCAAAGTTTGCTTTGGTTACTCTGCTACGCTCCTCATCATTGACTTTCTCTCTCCCTTTTTATTCTATCTTTTTCATCCATTTCTATAACTGCTACTACTAACTTATCTGAAAACGAGAATTTTTGCGTCCTCCAATACCCAATGTTCTATTCCCAGTCCAGTCACAATCGAAGACAAATATCAACGAAGCACCTTCACTTTAATTTTTAAAATT